GGGCCGACCAGATGCGGCAAGGGCGCCCGCCTGAGCCCCCGTTGCGTTACAATATTCATATATCACATATCCTAATACACTGCAATTAGAAAAAATGCATTACATTTCTGTTTTGTTTTATCTTTAGGAGTGACAATTCATTACTTTGCCCCCATGTGTGACCAACAGACACAAATTTCAAACCTGTGTTCACAAAGTGTGTTTGGAACAGGATCTATAATGTTGGCTATTTGGACTTTTGGCAGAAAGAGAGGAGTTTGGCAGCACCAGGCCAGGTATAAAAACAAAACAAAAACACTTGTACCTAAAACAGAAACCAGTCCAGGTCTCTTTGAGCGAGTCGTCATCCTGTTCTTGCATTTGAAAAATGAGTCGGAGTTTGGTGGTGTTTTGTTTAATGTAAAGCTGCAGAGAAGCCATTCAATGTGTTGATCAAACATTTCACAAGATGTGAACCTTAGCCAAAGCATCACAGCTGACCACCACCCAAATCACCACAGCAGATACATGCTTTTGGAGTCCTCTCTTCCCTGAGGTTGGGGTAAAAATGATGATTAGAATACATGATATTGAGCAGCAGCAAGAATTCCACATCTAACCCCTAGCACCCTGCCTGTGTCATAAGAAAATATTAAGATGCCAGACTTCTTGCATTCTAGTCTAATGCTGTAGATTATGGAAAATCAACTGACAATACAGTATCTCACTCACTGATGCTGAAAGCCGTGTAATATGATTGACGCACCTGTCACTGACAAAGATTCATTGTTCATCACGGCAAGCTTTGAGTCATGGGAAATGTGATACCGTTTGCGTAGATCAATGATTTGCTGCTTGAAGCCTCTTTTCCAAACTTCTGATGAATCCACACAGTTTTATCAATTTCCTCAATTCGAACCACCATTTAGCACGCTCAGGTTAATTTTGGTCACATTAATCAATTAGAGATGGTTAGCAGTGCATTTGTTGTACAGTGAGCAAGATGGAGATTTATAGATGCACAAACTACCATTGAATATTAATGCATTTATGTTTTATGCATGGAATACATATGTGAATCAATTACCTGGAGAAATGATTACAAATCAACTTTGATGCAAAAGAATGTGATAAAGCATCTGTTATTACTGTACACTTCAATAATTGACAAGGAGCTGTCGATATTCATTATCCTTCATTACTCACCATCTTCTTGAAAATCTAATGACAGCTTTTCACTAAGTCAGACCCGATAAAAACACAATATATGGACAGTTAGGGCAGATAAAACCAGTCAGGACATAACATTGGAACAAGTAATAGGTTTATTCCATGCTGAAAAAAAGAAGAAAGAGAACACAACGTTTCGGCCGTGGAGCCTTCTTCAGGTGTGAGAGAGACAGGGCATAACATTGTTGCTTTTCCTTTGTATATGTTTTGTATTTGTTTTCAATTATTAAAGTTACCAAATTAATAAATAACAGATTGGTGATATTTCTCAGGATTTAAGTACAATGTACCCACTGTTTTGCAAGACATTGCTTGTGGTTCATCTGTATAATCTCATTCTGTGCTGTTATTTCTTTTGTGCAATGCTTATTAATTCTTATGTAGTGGGAGTATGGAAAGGATATTAATAACTTCAGACATGCAGACACAAAATGTCTATGATGTGGAAAGAAATTAAATGCAGAGAGACATTTAAAAGTGTGTCTCCTTTACTAAAAAGAAGCAGTACCAGCTGCACTTATTGAGACCCCATAAGCCGCAATGTTGCACCCATTGCAGAGCCTGTTTTACATGCTGCTAATTTACAAGTTTTAGAAATAGATGAGTGTGAAATGGGAAGAAACAGTGGGAACACTGAAGAGCTAAATAACTGTCACATGCTATCAGCACCTCATGAACAAATGTGCAGTAAAGAAATTGAAGAGTTTTATTTGTGCAAGTCTGTTGGGTTCTTCTGTCTATGTTGCTCAGCATCGGTCACCTACAGTACTTTCTGTTTAATTAAGACTTTTGCCAAGATCTGGTCTTCAGCATCTTTTCAAGATTATCGTAAACCTTTCCACATTTTTGGGATCTTCCACTTAAATAATCATTTCTTCACATCTACACATTCAGCCTTGTATGATTGATCATAAAATAAACTGTGGTTGAACATTTAAATGTGCTTGTTGGAAAAGTATTTAATACCTTATTGCTATTTTGTTCACATCACCTTGGTCTGAAGTGTCACGTGATGTCTTTATACTGTCTGTGTCAGATCATAAGTCAGATGACATGGTAGAAATAATTGGGACCGCAAACCAGATACTACAACTGGAGCTGCCCTCAACATACGAGAATATTGCTTGTGTTTTTTTGGTTAACTTTCTTTTTGGAGACAGTAAAGCCTCAGAGACAAATTTTCAGAAACAAAGCCGATTTAGTCAGTTTGGAGATCTTCCATCTGAGTTAGTGATTTGATGTGGGCTGGCACTCCAACCAAGGGATTGTCAGGGCATACCAAATGTGGGTCTTGTCTTGGCTTAGGTTCATAAGGATCTCATTCAGTGTGCCAATAAGTTGTCCTAAAGGAACACTGTTTTTCTGGGAGATTCATTAAGCCAGTGGCTTTGCTTATGGTATATAACTGTTTAATTGGAGACTGCTTTTGAGCTTGTTTGGATGTTCACAAGTGGATTCATAAAACTGAAGTGTTTGGTTGAATAACCACTGGGTGCAGTGTAAAAAAGTTTGTAGATCTTTGTCTTGGCAAAAACAAGAAGAATAATGAGATGACTCGCTGTGTTTTTCTTCTCTTTACTCTATAATTTGCATGCTAATGTGCTGACACATAAAAAGAGCATTTACCTAAAAGCGTAATGACTAGTTGCAATGTACAATTACTGGCTTCCACAATTTGTCTGCATCATCCCTAAAAACAGTGGGATGAATTATTAAATAGGTCATCATTATTGTCATTTTTATAGCCTTGTTTTGATGGAATAACAGGAACAGTTAATCAAGTATAGACAACTACCCAAGAAAACCTTTAAAGCATAAATAATGTGTCGATCGTTATCGACAAAAATTGTTATCCTCGTATTTTTAGAACAGATCCTGAATTCAAAGAGAATTTGCTTCCTTTCTCCATGCAGATAGTTATGTGGATTTTTAACAGGCCTGACTGACAGAATAAAAAAAAAACTTACAGAATGTATTGGGAATAATGTCATTGTGAATATGAATGGCTCCATAAAAAGTATTCTTAAGGATTCTTATCTGATGTGGATAAAATAAAGAAACACTGCCTGCATGATTCAGTCTATTTGTTTTCTGATAGGGGGAAGTTAGTAGTTTTTTGTATATTGTGCATTCCTTTCACTGTACTCACTCTTACATTATTATGTACTGTAGATAATAATGTTCAAGGATGTTGTAAGCAAATTAGATTAAAAAAACG